ATAGGCGGCCCGAATTTTTAGAGGGGTCGAAATTTTGGAGTTTTCACGGTACTAATTATTCCATTTCAATGAAACTTAGTATAAAGATACTCTAGGACAATCTACAAACCTAATTAGTTTGGGGTAAAAATCTGTTCATATTAATTCCCTAATAAGCATAATAATTCATAATTTTTTGGTTCTAATCACATTTCAATTAAACTTGGAGACATAGATTTTCTGTTACATTGCGCAGACCTCATTAGTTTTACACTCAAATCTGGTCATATTAATTTTCTGATTTGCATAATTAGTTTTCAGCTAAGTAATTTCGAATTATATTTAATGTGTCTCCAATACTCTCAGCACATGGGAGTTCTTTCTAAGCTTTCTTTGATTTTGTTCTGTTTTTACAAATATCTGAAAAATTACTTATTCAAATAAAAACAAACTCCAATATGTTAAGCATTTTACATTGCGTGCGTGGACTACTGTATTCATTACAGTCATCTAAAAATAAATCTGACAATACGGTATTATACCCCCCTAAATTCTCTGATACCTCTGACCCTGTTCAAAGACTGTATAGAGTGTTTACTGATGTCTAGCAATAAAACAGTCTAGCCTTTTCTCTACCAGACTTTCTCATCCAAATTTGCACTTTTTTTTCTCATATTCTTTAACATTTCTGGAAATAAACCCATATTTTGAAGCTAACAGACAAAATTTGAGTCAATATTCAGTTTTTACTAAAAAAAATTTGGCTATTTTTGTTCCATTATTCTGAGCGAAAGTGCATACTATAAACGGGACTATTTTGTGATTATAAGATGGAACTGGTGGTGAAAAGGCTAGTCAATTTCTCACTCACTGCATACTTGTGGTCACTGTAGTCTGTAGATCCCTGGATGGAAGTATAGCTTACAATGTGTTGATTAATAGGGTATATGTAATAATGTGTTGATTAATAGGGTATATGTAATAATAGCTACAAATAGAATAGATTAGTTTGACAATAATAAATGAGAAGCTGCCACCACCATTCGTTAAAAGCAGTCAGTCTGTTAGGAATTGCAAACTGTGTTTATGCAACACTTAAATAATTTGCTTTCAAGTATCAAGAAATTCCTGTGGCATATTCATATGTGATCGTTCTGAGCAACCCTTCTCATATACCACCCATGTAATTTGGGTGTCTTAATTACGGTAAATCTTACATTCATGTAAAGAATATTTCTAGGAGAAATACGTTGCTTTTATTTAATGCCAGACTGACCAGGTAACAACTAAGGATCATAGCAGTTGTCTAATTATAAACCATCCTTGAAACATGATAGGAGTATCCCATGACAACGTGTTTAACCATTGACCGATTCAAGCCATATTTGGTGTAAAGTTAGATAGTAAATATTTTGTTTCAAGTTCATCATGTATTGCCCCGCCCCACTCATTCCTATACCTCCTGTACGTCCCTCACCCTTGACTTTTTATTGCCTAGTCCTACATTTGCTAAGCATACTAGATGTACACATGTAATTGATACCAGTAGATTAAACAAGTAGCTATGTGGTAATAATAATGGTCTATGCAAGGTATCTTTAATTGTTTTAATACAGTGTAGTGTAATAATATATGGCCTTCAGAATCTGAAATAGATATCGCTTCTGTGACAGTTGTCCTGGTATGTTATCATGAACATTTACAGAGCTGATAGACAGACTTGCATACAGCATACATTTTTTTTCATCTGTAACCATGACAATGCCCTAAAAAAAAATTAGTAATTTCACCTTGTTGATTGATTTAATTTTGAGCAAGGTTGACATATTAATTATCTACTTGACATTGAATTTAATTAAATAGAAGCTGGCTCACATTGATGTTGATTGTGTATAATTACATAACAGTGTAGTCAAGGTTACCATACCAGCTTCTGCAGAGTGTTTCACATCTGTGTCTGTAATTATTACACCCACAAGTCTGTTTTTTAATTACTCAGTTTTCACTGATTACTTTATTAGTCCCTATTGGGATGAAATTCGAAACCGGGACTTATCGATTAGTCTCTGTGCTTGCAGGTGTGTGTATGTGTGTGTTGGCTGATAACTTCAAACCTGGTGGAACTATTATTGGTAGTTTACTCATGCCACTTTGATCAGTAAATTCAGCTCAAGATCACTGGTGACCATTTTGTTTTTGACAAATTCTATTTTCGACTTATACATGTATACTGTACATTCACTCAAGTACAGCAACAGTATATGCACATGCACAATTCTTCAAGTTATGAAATAGCAATGTAAAAAATGTTAACTATTCACAGGAATAGAAGCTAAATTATCCTTAAATATGTATTGTTTTGAGATGTAAATACTTTGTAGCATTGTTATGAATACATGTAGGAACTTTTTCACTAGCAATGTGTATTATGCTGTTGACATTTGTGCCTGACTTAATCGTGATATCATTCCTTGTCACATGCATAACATGGTATTTTTCACTATGGAGATGCAGGTTTTTACTCTGGTGGTACTGTAAAATCTATTAGAAGCCAGGGCTTTTATTAAAATGGTACAATGCAACAGAGGGGATGCGGCCTCTATTAGAGCATATACACATATGAGAAATGGTGAATTTTTGGGGTCTCAATTGTTCAAAAAGAATGGGTGTGGCTTCTATTAGAAATGCAGCTTCTAATACAGATTATACGGTATATTCTATGTCACACATCAAAACTACTTTCATTACTCACTTTGTAACCAACAGAATTCTATACACATTGGTCTTAACCACAGTTCCTCAACTGACGGATTGTGTTCTAACATTGAATGTATAACAGGGGCTGTGTATTGCAAAAATACTTGTTAATCCTCGTTACCATGGTGATGAACTGATATTGAAAATATACATCAATGTATTTTTTGTTTCCCAGACAGCAATGAAAATATGTCCAGCTGTTGTTTATTTATGTGTGTATTAATTCTTTCTGTGGGCATAGAGGATAATAAATAGAAACAGTGACAAATGTGTGTATTCAATAGACTCGTGTTGCTAGCATAAAATATGTTTTTTCTACTGAAATATTGTAAAATTTGTTGTTCTAAATTTTCCTGTCATGGTGTACAGTGCATTTATGCATGGTTCCATCAAGCTCCACATTTGATTTTACTGTAAAACCATTTATTTTCACTGACATTTAATTTCTCTATTTTAATGTTTTGAGCATATTCATTGTTTTAATTTCACGAATTTGTCAAGGAAAGGTTATTTTTACATGTTCACATAGATTTAATTTAGCGTATTTTACTTTTACAGGGTTGAAATCAATGCCAATTATTTTCATTAATATCTTGTTTTTTTTCATTCAAATTTTAGACTTGAATAACATGGAAGAAGCTGATTTATAGCGCCCTCTGTTGACAGCTATTTATACGATACTTGAGGGCGCTCTTCTGATAACAAATAACTGTTGGACAAAAGACATGTGTGTATCGCCTGATGTCAAGTTTCTCAAAGTAATACCTGAATTGTATGTGTACATTTCTACTGAAGCTCTACGTCTCTGAAACTTACAAGTGAAACAGGAGGGGGACAATATTATAACTGCCTTACACACACCCTTTTTGAAGATTCACTTTTCAGCGATGTTTTTACTATTTTGTTAAATTCTGTTTTAGAATTTCTTAAAGAGAATAAACAATAAATTGAAAAATTTTACAGCCTCATCAACAGTAACTTTGAAGTGCGTCACCAAGTGGTTTAATGTTTTTTTTCTTCTATTTTTAAGGTAATTTTGTGGGTATTTGGTGTGCTGTGAGCATTTTTTCATTAATTTGATAATGATTGTTTTCTATTTCAATTTTGTTGAAATTACTTTACTATCTATTTTATGCATAACATGTGTAGAATGCAACCCACTTGTTGATTGGCCGACGTCTGTGGAAAATATAAGATGATTTATGATTGGTCAATCATTGCCTGAAAATTGTTATGTAAAAAAAAAACTTTTATTTATTCAATTGTATGCTGATAAGAAGATGCACTTTTGTCGACAAGCAAAATGGCCTTTTGTGGATTTGTTGACAAGCTAGGAGACCTTTTTTGATTTTGTCCAAGTAATTTGGGACCAAATTCAAGACATGTTTAAGGTCTTGTATATATTTATTACAATTGCTATTCGTTCTACTATGCTGGTTACTGAAATAACATCTGGACGTGTCTATATTCAACCAATGAGAATACGTGTGACAGACAACTTCATTGTAACATGATTTCCAATTGGTTGATTCTATCATAGTATACAGATACAGTCCTGTTTAGAGCAAAGAGGACTTGATATGCTTTCAGTAACTAGTATACAAATACAAATTACGTAGAAAGTTAAAGAAGGAAGTTGTGTCAATGCTTCGACTATATTCATCATATACTGCCCGGTTTGGTGGTCTGCTAAACTAAAAAATCTGATTGAATGTAGTTACCATATTGGATGTTCTAGAAGTGTTCATTTCAGTTGAAAAGCTTGCTTCAGTTTATTTTTAGAAACATATCAACTTAATGTTTTCTGTTCTGTAAATTATTTTAATGGGAAAAATTCACTTTTAATAGAGTAAATACAATATGTGATGGCACAATCATGTTTATTATGGAATATTTGAAATTGCTATTTAAAATTCTAAAACTTTCGGGATTGTAACTTGTTTTTAGATAGGATACCTATACTTACAATTTAGAGTGGCAACTCTAGCAAATAGTTTGACATAAGTGACTATACAAGATCTTTTTGTGAAGTCTTTCTATTGTTGCATATTATGTGTGTATTTCTGCTGATTCTAAAGAAAGATGTCAAACAGCCTTTTATGAAAATATTAAAGCACATTTTAAATTGAAAATTGTGTTGTTACATTGGGTGCGTTTGTGTGTGTGTCTGGGGTGGGGTGGGTGTAAATGTGTCATTTGGTTTAGCCCACAGTCAGCTGGCGCACACGTGATAATAAATTAAATACGATATTTACTACAAGGGGGCCGCCATCTTGAATGACGCATAAAACTAAATAAGGGACAAGTTGTGAAACGCCTTTTTCAGATTCCTACAAAGACTAAAATGTATATTGCCCGTAACTAGAAGTTATGTTAACTGTATTACCTTAATACAGTTAAATTTGGGTGAGGTCATTTTTTACTCCTGTGTGCAAAGAACACAATGGGAGTCTGTGGTTATTGCGTGTGTCTGTTCCACTGGTATCTCAAGAACCTATTATTTTAATGAAACTTTGTACATATATGCTCTGGGATAAGGTCAAAAAAAAAAAAAAAACTTTTGTTGCCCTTAAGTCGGAAAATTGAAAAATTGGGTCGGTCGGATTTTCTTTTTTTTAAAACTCATGAAAACTAAGGGTATTGTAAATAGCTGAGGTATATAGGAAAAAAACACACCACCCGATATTTCATGTTTTTCGGTTGGTCGCTGAGGGCAACAAAACAATTTTTTTTTTGCCTAAGGCTCTGACCTGACTAGTGTTTGGTTGAAATCAATTGGCATATCAATTTCCCGATTTGCATATTAATTAGCCAATTTTAAGCCTTTTCATTTTTTTTCTGGTGTGCTATTAAACAGATTTTGATGAAACTTATTACATTGATGTCATGGAATAATGCGTAGATTTGATTAGTTTGTGGTTGAAATCCATGCTTATTAATTACCTAATTTACATATTAATTGTCCAATTTTAGACATTTTCACTTGTTTCTCCTGTACCATTGAACATATTTCAACGAAACTTGGTACATAGATGCTCTAGAATAATGCCCAAACCTGATTAGTTTTTAGTTCAAATCCCTTGCATATTAATTGCCTAATTTGAATATCAATTTGCAAATTGTAAGCAATTTCACTTGTTTCTAGAGTACTGTTCAACATATTTCAATGAAATCTGGTACATAGATGCTCTGAGATAATGCAAAGACCGGATTAGTTTGGGGTTGAAATGTATATTAATGACCTGTTTTGCAAATCAGTTAATTTTATGGACTGGATACGGCTTTTGCGTCCAGGTGTTGTGCGGCGGAAGCGTCCGAGCTTGCGAGGGTGCGTAAGCCGGGTGCGTAAACCGTACGACCGAGGGAAACAAAAGCCAGATCCAGTCCATAAAGGTTTTATCATATACATGTACCTTATAGGTGTAATTACAATTTTACCACAGGGTGACCTCAAACACACGATGAATTTAGAATGACGCGTTTTGTTTTAAAGGGTCAAAGCCGAGCACGCTGTGCCAGGCGTGATAAGGGAAATTATTGCTATATAGAAGATAACGTACGTTTTAACATTTTCTTCTATGCTATCGATAAAGAGCCATTTCTCGGAATGTCTAGCTATTTTTAATAGTTATTTAGGACTACGATTACCATATATTATCTTCTATATATCATATTTATCAGTCCGAGCAGCGTTTATTAATTTATAAACTACTATTACGAAATTATTGCTATGAAGTGAGGGCGCACTTCACATAGCGTTACAAGGCCGCGCAATACGAGGTATGTGATAATGGCCAATATTTAACTTTTCCACCAATATCTCAACCAGTCATCAGATTCAATAAAACTTGGTACATACTGGTGTTAGGGATAAGGCATTTAGATGTTCAGTTTAGGGTGAAATTTACCTAATTTCCATAAATTATCTAATTTATAGGTCCTCTACAGATAACCTGGGTACCACTCATCAAATTTTAATTAAACTAATAAACACAGTATTCCTTATTTGTACTTCATGCCTCCAATACATTCAACACACGGGAGTTCTTTCTAAATGTTCTTTGTAACTTAATGTCTGTAGCTCGAACAATTCAACATATATTTTCAGAAAATGACAATTATTTTCATGATTAAATGCACTCAAATTTCACAGTAAATATACATTACCATTGGTGTATAGTCTGAAATGACTTGACAGCAAAGTAAGATAAATGATGTGCAATGTAGAAGGCGAACATATCTCGCAGACAACATTATTGGAACCTCTCGAGGTTTAACGGGAAATACTAGTACAATATTCAGGTTTGACAGAAAAGAATTTAACATTTAGGCTGTACCTACTGTGAACCGTAAGCCAATGTAATTATATGCAAATACAACAAATCCCTGATAAAAGACATGATTAATGAAAGAAAGAGGAAAAAAACGTGCTTCACATGCAGCAAATATACGTATACACAATGTGTGCAGTGTAATATAAACTTGGCCTGCAGTTTGAAATTTAGAAGAAAAAAACTGATGGAATTAGACATACAGTTTTACGAGCCATATTTCAAAACATGGCTTACCTGGTAATATGGAGATGAACTTGTGCTCATATCGTAGTTCTGGCACTGTTACGACGAGCCGCATCCAGATATTCTGTGAAGGAAAGGCTTGCTCGCAAATGAATTATGCAGTACGGATTTCGTAACCCTGCAAAGTACAGGGAAGAGCTCATTCATATTAATGTTGCGGCTTTCTTTTTCAAAGCATGTAAGGTTTAGGTGATTGACTAATATAATCCTGTCGCTGGTGAGCGGGTTTAACGCTTTTCTAGATATTCCCCAAGCAACTAACAAAAAGAATGCAAAAAAAATAATCTTTAAATATTTGTTTAATAATTTGCAAATCCAAATTAAAAGCTATTCAACTGTAATATCTCATATTTTGTCAAGGTCAGTTATTCACGTGTGAAATCAAATCCGATCAGGAATTTGAGTTATGCTCATTCCCTTACAGAGTTTGATGCTTTCGCTAAAGGTGGGAGTTGGGTAATACATCATTCCTACAAAATGCACCCTCTAGTGTCGAAGCGCTTGTGTTACGTCAAAATGGCGTATATGGGTGAAGACAATGTTCTTCAAATCGACATCTGTGTTCCGTTATGTAGTAGATCGTCATCTAAGTATTTTAAACTCTTTCAAAAAGATAATCTTAGTTGACGGTTTCAACCACAGATGTTGTTTGAGGGCGTGACTTTTAGAAATAATTCCGTTCCCTGAACGGGTTAATATTTTCACAAACGATTTTCATGAGAAAGCCTTAGCACGAAGTATTCCGTCAAATTCATGTGAACGGTGTAAACATCGCATACACGACTTTCTAAGAAAATTGGGAACGAGCTTTCTAAATAACCAATCCAATTAGCCTGTTTCGAATGTCTGCATAGTAAAGTTGTAATCCAACTTATGCAAATATGTGGGTGAGAAATTAACTGTACAATATGAATTTACACAAGCCTCATTTTTGCTGGCTTGAGCCGTTGGGCTCCGATAAAATACTGTCGAGTGAACGTAGCAATTGTGTTAGATTTGAACTGAGTTAGGAGGTTTTGTATGTATGTTTGTTTATAAGAACTTCCAGTTCTCTCAAAATGAAATGTATGGAAAGGGTTCATATTTAACTTTCAATATTTCATAATTTTAGGAAACACATAATTTTTACACAGCTCTTTCTGTGACTATGTATCTTATATTCGCAAAGTGGAAATGATAAGCTTCAACTTAAAGGGCGGTGGTCGTCGCCCAGCGCATGTTCGAATTTCATGTAAATAAACAGTGTTTTTACACGCGATGTATACGTCGCTATGAGTCCCATATCGAACAGAACGCGACACGACGACCACCGCCCTTTAAGCGTTATTGATTTGGCAATAAGTTGGATTATTTAAATCAATGAATTATGTCAACACCTAGATTGTGTCTTCAAAGATATGAATACATGTTGGATGGCCTCATTATTTATGCAAATCACATGAGAATATTAAAAAAAATAATAAAATAATATTTTCAGTGTGTACATATGACGCTGCCAATAAGTGGAGAATACAAAATTGAAGAACGAAAGTAGTTTAAGAGCCAAGTTCATTTTTTGGAGTTTGGTCAACATTTTAATTATACAACTAGACCAATATACATTTCAGAATAAAATACTGGCTACATCAGTTCAAGTACAGGGACAACTATGTTTTGACTTATTTTGAGAATATGTCTACATGTTTGATTTCAATTATAATTTCACAATATTTAATTATCTTAAATCCAAAATGGCTTGGTGTTAAGATTGGATGAGATGCTGAATTGTTCGAGTTACGGACACCGAGTTATGAGCATTGAGTTACAAAAACATCAAGTTACAAAAACGAGTAATCCCATATTTTAGAAACCACGCCCGCTTTTGCTAAGCCACGCCCAAATTGAAACTCAATGTCCAAACACAGTCCCTCTATCATAGAGAGACTGTGGTTCAAATAACAGTTAACCGAACTTTACGGGCAACATATATTTTTTGTTTTGTTTAACGTTTTATGTTTCACATAACAAGAAATTAGATTAACTGTTAATTAACATTCGAGTTACAAAATTTGAACGTTAAACCAAAGACACTAGAGAAGAAAAACAAACAAATCTATGTTGTTTCGCACCATAGTATAAATGTACCGTTATCATAAGTCTAAGCGAAGAAGGGTTTCTGTGATATACACGGGTGCGGCGGGCGTCGTCCACAGCGTCGACATTGATTTGATTCGTGTTTCCAGCAACGAACGGGACAAAATTGTTGTCTATGAAAGAAATACCTCACACCGATTTTTAGCCACCGACAGTCAAAGTCGCCTTCTTTGTTTATATGAGACCCATATATCTAGCGCATGCGTGGCACGACGACTACCGACTTTAAGTGTAGTTGTCCAATCGGTACATATCATGAAATGCGTTCAGACGACGTGGGTCATCAGTTCGTTTGTGTTTACCGTGTCCCATGTACTCTAGAGATGGGAATCTGTGTATTACGTTTTGGCTGCAGCTGTTATCTGCACTTATTAAAATCCAACTGAGAGATTAAGGTGCTATAGCAACTGACATCCTAATCC